GGAAAACACAGAAAATAATTAAATTATTTTTAATAAATATATTTTCTGATCTTTCCGGAAAATACTCAAAGTTTATTTGTTCCGGTGTTTTGAAAAATACAAATTCTGATTCCTCTATAAAACAATTTAATTTCCGGAAAACACAACAATTTAAATAAATTCTGATTTTATTAAATTAATTCTGATTTTATTAAATACTACTCTATCTACTATACCCCCTTCAGTACACGTATAAATAAAATTCTTATTTTCTTCTTTATTTTCCCTCAAAATTTTTTTTCTTCATTTTTAAACCATAATATGTATCTATAATTTAATATTATACAAATCATTTAACACAGAAAATCTTATTGAGAAAATTTTTTTGATTTACACCTGATTGCCCTTAAATGCACAAGGAAAGGCGCAAATCTAACTAAGAAGGGAGCCAAGGCGTAATTTTGGTTTCCAAAATTTTTTTTCTTTTTTTCCTTTCTCCGTCTGATCCTCTTTAAAACCACAAAATTGTCCCTTTTTTCTTTCCTCTATTCATCTCTCACCTGTAGGGCTTAGTGACCACCAAACCTTCATCATGGCCTTGCCGGGACAAGGCCATCACATCGCGCATAGTAGCAACAAACAAAACAGAAAAAACTATAAAAATAAAGCAAAGCATGCAATTCACCGATATATTCAAATATCCCCTTTCTATCAGAAAAACCTTTTTTCTCCTGAATAATACAGAGCATTTTCTTCTCTTCAACAGTTAAAAATGCTGCTAAAATTTTCTATTATTTTTTCAGAATTTTTTAAAAAATTAAAAATTTGACCAATCTCCCCCTAAAAATAAAAAAAATATTTTTTGGCCATAAAAATATTATAAACCTTCCTCTTACAAAAGAACGATCCCTCTGATCGACTAAAAGGCAAACTTCTCTATTTATTTTCTGTTCATAAAAACAATTTTATATTGACCCAAACAAAATATGAACAAACAAACATATTAAATGCAGGTGGATTTCTGATTTTTTGTATTTTCTTTTTGTTTTTAATTATGTTTTGATTTTGTTCTTGTTTTGTTTATGAGGATTGTATTTTTGTTCCGGAAAGTATTGTTAAAAATACAACAAAAATACAACAATATATTTATGAGAAACAATTTTAATTATTATTTGTATTTTCCGGAATGTGTTTTCCGGAATGTGTTTTTGTTTATTTTCATGTTTTATTTTTATTCTGATTTTCTGATGTTTTGTGTTTTATTCTTTGTTGTTTTCATGTTTTTATGTTTCGATTTTATTCTGATTTTCTGATGTTTTGTGTTTTATTCTTTGTTGTTTTGATGTTTTTATGTTTTGATTTTATTCCGATTTTCTGATGTTTTGTGTTTTATTCTTTGTTGTTTTGATGTTTTTATGTTTTGATTTTATTCTGATTGTGTTTATTTCATGTTTTATTGTTATTCTGATGTTTCTTTGTTTTGTGTTTTATTCTTATTCTGTTGTTGCTCACTCTTTGCAGTTGTGTTTTTAATGTGTTTTTAACCCACTTTTAAATCTTTTTAATTCTGGTTTTTAACCATTTCTAGGTCACACAATAATATATTGAGGTAATAGGGGAGATTAAATGCTTAGCTTTACAAAAATTGAAGATTGTGCAATTCTTTAAAAATAGTCATTTTATTTTCCTGACACGCTCTTCTACGAAAAAATTTTTTTGTAATTTTTTTTCTTGTCAATTTTCCTCTTTTACAAAAGTGGTTTTATTTATTTTTGTAAGGAAGTAAAAAGGCGTCTTTAAAAGGAAGAAAAAAGGAAGAAGGAAGAGATGAGAACGTCCTTGAAAAGGCGGAAGGGTCAAAATTGAGGAAGAAAATAAAAAATGACATCAAAAAAAGTTTTCTTAAAGAAGAAAAAAGTCTAAAAATGCTCAAAAAGGCAAAGCGCCTTATTTTGACCTCAAACAGAAAATGCACAGGAAATAGGGCGGGTAAGACATTTTAAGAGTTTTTAGTTTAATAATTATATAAAGAATAATGTTCTTCTGATTTTGTTGTGTTTTCCGGAAAACATTTTAATTAAAGAAAAAAAATCAGAATTTAAACAAAAAAAACAAACTAGAAAACAACAACACAACAACATGTTCAAATTAATTTCTGATTTATTTATTTGTTTTGTTCATAATGTTTTTCTGATTTTTTCTTATGTTGTGTTTTCTTGTGTTTTTCCGTGTTTTACTGAGTAAACTAAAACTTTTTTCCTAGTCCAACATTAAATTAATTACTTAATAAACAGAAAGCGAAAATTCCCTTTCCCCATTTTTAGTTTTTGCAATCTTCGACGCATTCACAATTTTTTTATTTTTAACACAAAAATTCTCGTCTTTATCTCCTTCATTAATTACTCTCCTCCTTATCCCGAAACTGGGAGATTTAATCAATGTACTAAATAAAATTAAATAAAAAGAGGGGGATTTTTTAGAACAAAAGAAAGGAAAATTCCTTAGAAGGATTTCTAATTAATTATTCTGATTTTTAAAATCAGAAAAATTAATTCTGATTTTTTCTGATTTATTAAAATTCTGATTTTTGCTTTCCTTATGTTTTCAATTTCTTTTAATATTTTTCTGATTTTATTCTGATTTTTTTATTGCCTCTTTCCTCTTCCCCTCACTCGACCCGTTTATTATATTTATTTTTATGTGATTTTTTATTCAAACTTTTTTATCCGTCTAAATTATCCTCCTCATCTTTAAAGAAAAATAAATAAATACTCATGTTGGAAGGGGTATTAAATGAGGATAATTCTGATTTTTGTGTTTTTGTTTTAATTATGAGTTTCTTTTGTTCTGATTTGTTTCCACGTGTTTTCGTTCTGTTTTTGTGTTTTATTTTATTTCTGATATTCTGATTTTTGTATTTTCTCTTGTTTTTCTAATATTCTGATTTTTGTATTTTCTTGTTTTTCTAATATTCTGATTTTTGTATTTTCTTGTTTTTCTAATATTCTGATTTTTGTATTTTCTCTTGTTTTTCTAATATTCTGATTTTTGTATTTTCTTGTTTTTCTAATATTCTGATTTTTGTATTTTCTTGTTTTTCTAATATTCTGATTTTTGTATTTTCTTGTTTTTCTAATATTCTGATTTTTGTATTTTCTTGTTTTTCTGATATTCTGATTTTTGTATTTTCTCTTGTTTTTCTAATATTCTGATTTTTGTATTTTATTTCTAATATTCTGATTTTTGTATTTTCTCGTGTTTTTCTGCAACGGTTTAATTAAATTAGTTGTATTTTCCGGTTTTTAAAGTTTGTATTTTAGAAGTATTTTTCCGAAACAAAAATACAATTTAAATAAATTATAAGTTTCACTGTAATTTATTATTTATTTCTTCTTTATGGATTTCCTTTTTATAAAAATTCCGGCTCAATTAATTTTCCATCATCTTTAAATATTTTATAAAATATTCTTGTAAAAGCTCTTCATTTTTCCACTTTTAATAAATAAAAATATTGTCGACTTTTGACTGTCTCGCCGTTTTGGCGAAAATTTTGTGACTGTAAATATATAAACACTTTGCTTTTCTTGAACCATTTATTTTAAAAATAATTTATAATCGAATAATTGTTGCACTTTATATTTCGTTGTTTAATTAATTAATTTATTTTTAAAATTAAAAAAATTATTTTTTATCTGTTCTCCAGATAAAAATCTGTTCCCCTAACTATTGGGCGTTTTGTGGCTCCGGCACCTTAATAATCGTCGCTCTGACCGGTTCTGGTCAGAGCCTAAATATTGGGCATTTTGTTGCTCCTACCTTTTAAAAATCTTCGCTCCAGCTTCGGTTCTGGATCCTTACCTTCCTGAGCTAACTCCCGTATCCTTACCATTCAATACAGTTCTTCCACCATTTTTTCCCGTTTTTTAATTTTCTGATTTTTGACGGTCCCGTAGGTATCTAAAATAAAATATATATTTTCAGGTATTTTCTCCTCAATTAATTTTTTTCGTATACAACTTCTGCTTTTCTTTTATATTTTCTTAAAAGTTGCTTTTAAAAAACCTCCTTTCCAAGTAAAGGTAATTATTAAAAAGAAGAGCGTGGTGGTTGTTGTGGTTGTCCCCACTTCACTCACTTTACTCTTAAAAATTAATTTATAATTTTTGTACAAGTAGAAGGAAAGAAATTTTTTAATCAATATATGGCCTATATTTTCTTGAAAATTTTTTTGTTTTTATTTATGATGTTTGAATATTTTTATTTTGCCATTTTCATTGGCATTATGTTTAATTTTGGGTACGGCCCAAGTAGGCGCACGGCCAAGTAGGCGCAAAGTCATAACTTGCTTCAAAATTTCCAAATCTTACCAAATTTGGTATTAAACGATTCCTCTCATCGAGCTAAAGAAAATGGTACCAAAATTGTTAAGGTCCATAAATTTTTCAGGTAGTTATGGCTTTGCGCCTACTTGGCCGCGCGCCTACTTGGGCGTGTCCCCTTAATTTTTATTTTTTTGGCGTTATGTTGATTTTTGAAAAAAATTTTTTTTAAAAATTTCCCCTAATTAAAAAAATTTTTTTTAGCCTCCAAAAATGCTTATTATTGGCTTTATTCTTTCTTTTCTAATTTTGAACGCTCAACATTGTAAATCTATGCGAGTTGATCCACAAAGGATTATGGCCAGGCTTCGACTGGAAATGGAAGAAGCTGAAGAGAGGAGTGGCGGAAGAAATAGAAGACAATTGCTAGGAGGGGGTTCTCCTAAGGAAGAGACTATACAGGCAAGAATAAAAAAATTTTTTTCCTTTTAATTGGAGAGGTGGCGAAAAATTTGAAAAAAAATTCAAAAAAAATTCAAAGAATTTCAAAAAAAAAATTTTTCAAAAAAAATTTCAAAAAAATTTTATTTAAAGGTAACAGCACCATTATTTTCTTCTCGACTCTTTGAATACGGCCCAGCTGCAAACGACAAAGAATTATTATTGTCCAGTAACGGGGGCGGTTTGGATATTGCAAAAAGAATGCCCCTGTCCCGTCCCCTCCTATTTTATGGCCAACCCCATTCTGCTATTTGGATACTAAGTAATGGAGGGATTGGCTTTGAACAGTCGGCACGTCAATACAGAGCAAATATATTACCTAGCAATGTTAGAATAATCGCTCCCTTTTGGAATAGAAATGATTTGAGAGTTGGGGGCAAAATATTCTATCGAGAAGTTACCGGTAAATGAATATTCCGATTTTATATGTGTTTTCCGGAAAATTATAAAATTTGTTTTCCGGAATGTATAATTTTTGTATTAGTTTCCGGAATTGTAATTTGTATTTTTATTTATTTTCCGGAATTGTATTTTTTGTAATTTGTGTTTTCCGGAAACTATATTACTTGTTCCGGAAAATATATATGCTTTCCGGAAAGTATATGTGTTTTCCGGAATTGTATTTTTTGTATTTTATGTTTTCCGGAAACTATACATATTACTTGTTCCGGAAAATATATATGCTTTCCGGAAAATATATGTGTTTTCCGGAATTGTATTTTTCGTATTTTATGTTTTCCGGAACCTGCATTAAATATCCCGGAAAATATATATGCTTTCCGGAAAATATATGTTTTCCGGAATTGTATTTTTGTATTTTATGTTTTCCGGAAACTACATACATTGCATGTTCCTGAAAATATATGTATTTTCCGGAGTTGTATTTTTTAATTAACTTTCCGGAAACACAATTATTAATAATTCTTATTAGTATTTATTAAAGTTTGCATTTTCCGGAAGATTATATTCTTTAACGCAAAATTCTGATATTCACTTTAAAATCAGAATTAATTAATTTTAGGCGGCCGTGTACTCGACCGTGGTCAAAGCGAAATACGTTACCAATACGAACTTGAAGTTAAAGTACACACTGCAGTGCTGGTTACATTTGATAAAATGCAGCCTGTGGGGACTGATCCTTTACCTGACGAAGTAATTTGAATCAAAAATGAATCAAAAAATTTCTTTTAAAGAATACCAACACTTTCCAATTAGCCCTCTTCTCCACAAGCAATGGAACTTTTGCTAATTTTATTTACAGCAATATTGGATGGACCCAAGGGGCAGAAGCCGGTTTTAATGCTGGGGATGGAAACAATTTCTTTGCCCTTCCAACCTCTGGCACTGGAAATATTATGTATTTGGAGGATTATGGAAATACTGGTGAGGGATTTGTAAGAAAATTATTTCCGGAAAATATAACCGTATAGACAAGAAATGTCAGAGATTAAACTTATAGGTATTTTTTCCGGAAATTTACAAATACATCCGGAATTTATAAATATTTCCGGAAAATACAAAATACAATACATGTTTCCGGAAAATACAACAAGTTTACAAATATATTCGGAATTCAAAAATGTTTCCGGAAAATACAGATATAAATATTTCCGGAATTTATGAATATATTTCCGTTATCAGATTACTTTTCCGGAAATTAATTCATTAATGAAAATACATTTCCGTAAATATACTACCGAAAAATTAAACTTATGTATTTTCCGGAAATTTACAAATACATCCGGAATTTAAAAATGTTTCCGGAAAAGACATAAATATTTCCGGAATTTATGAATATATTTCCGGTATCAGATTACTTTTCCGGAAACTAATTTATTAATTAAAATACAATTCCGGAAATATACTACCGGAAAATACATTTTAATTTCTGTATAATTATGGACTTTACAATTCCGGAAATAAAATAGAAATATTTCCGGAATCTATTAATAATCGTCCGGAAATATACATACTACCGGACAATACTTTTCTCTCTCTCTTTAATTTTCTCTATTTTTCAGGCATCCCAGGAGAATGGATGTTTATTTTGGGAGATGAAAGAATTCAACGATGCAAGGCTGGAATTAAGGGGGATACTTGTGATGAAGGTAAAATTAATTTTAAAAATTAAAATATTTTTTTTTATTTTTAGCTTGCAAAGCTGGCGAATTTGGTCCTGATTGTGTTCGTTGCTGTCATTGTGCAGAGGGTACTTGTCATGAAGCTACTGGTGAATGTAAAAAGGGTGAATGTTCACAGTGCTGGACAGGGATTGCTTGTCAACAAAGTGAGGAGGGGAAGCTGATTTTATTCTGATTTTTTCAGAATTCTGATTTTTCTAAAATCAGAATTCTGATTTGATTCAGAAATCAGAATTCTGATTTTATTCTGATTTTTTCAGAATTCTGATTTTATTCTGATTTTTTCAGAATTCTGATTTTATTCTGATTTTTTTAGAATTCTGATTTTATTCTGATTTTTTTCAGAATTCTGATTTAATTCTGATTTTTTTCAGAATTCTGATTTTATTCTGATTTTTTTCAGAACAATCCCGTTGTTCAAACAAAGGCTCAAAATGTGCCCAAAATGCTCTACAAATGACAGATTATAATAAATGTGGAGAACCTCAATATCGTTGCGAGTGTTTGGCAGGCTTTACAGGGGATCCTTACACTGAATGTTCAGGTTTGGATAATTAAAAAATTTAAAAATTTTGAATTTTTAAAGATGTGGATGAATGTACTCGACAACCAAGCGTTTGCCACCAACTGGCACAGTGTTCAAATACACCGGGAAGATTTTTCTGTCAATGTCCTGAAGGGTTTCAAGGCGATGGTAAAATTGATTTTTTATAAGAAAAATTAAAAAAAAATTTTTTTGAAATTTTCAAAAAATTCAAAAAAAAATTTTTCAAAAATTTCAAAAAAATTTTTCAAAAAAAATTTTTCAAAAAAATTTTTAAAGGTATTTCTGAATGTGTTGCTTCATTCCTCTATCCTTTTGACCAATCTCATTTACTTCCTTCAAATGAAAAGGATGGAAGAGTTATGGAATGGAGATTAAGTCATCCTCTTCGAATATTTGGACGTGACAGGGACACTATTTGGCTGACAAATAATGGATTGATTTTGGTGAAGGGGGCCAAGAATGTTCCTTCTATAAGGGATGAACAACACAAACTTGATGGGATGGATGTTCAAGGGGTGAGATTTTTTGGTTGAATTTTTCGGTGAAGAATTTGGGAAGGATTTGGGTTTTATTCTTGTTTGTCTTGGGGTTCTGTAACAAATTTTTGGAAGCTTCTTAAACCTATAACCTTACAAAGGAGAGGTCCTGAGTTGTCCTGAGGTCCCACGGACACACTCTCCTTTGTTAATGGAACTGGGAATTGATAAGTTTTAGCTTCAGCTTATTGGAAATCTTATTTGTAAATTTTTTGCCTATGAAGGATTTAAATTTATCTTCCAACAAATTCATCATATTGTCTTAGGCTTAAGGACTCTATTTAGCTCAACCAAAAATTTGCTTGGTTTTTACTTGGTTTTTTTCTTGGGGGAGAGAGGGAGAAACCTCACATTTCTCGGTTCTGTTCTCATAAGTCTCGAAGGTTTCCAAAGAAGGTTACTGGCCCCAGAGCATAATAAAAAAACCAGGAAAATTAAGCTCAAACCTTCACAATAGGAACAAATTTTCCAAATAAAATTTTTTCTACATTTTTCTAGGTTGCCCCACTCTTTGTGCCCATCGATATGACTTCAAACGGAAAAATTCTAGTCGAAGAAACAACCGATCCTCGTATATTAGGCAAAGCAGCCCAATTAATTAATACACAATTGGGTGCTTCTTCCGAACAACAACCTCGTTTTGTAGCAACACACGCCTTATTAGTAACTTACTCAAATGTTAGTATAGGCATGTCTAAAACAACAAAAGAAGCTACAAATACCTTCCAAGCACTCTTAATTGGTGGAAAAGACAGGCAAAAAAGAGGGGAAAGTTCTACTGTTACTTTTGTTCAGTTTCTTTATCGTGATTTACATTGGGAGGGAGAAGAGGCTGAAGCTGGAATTATGTTAGGAAAAATTTTTTTGAAAATTAAACAAAAAATTTTTTAAGGGCTCCGGACAGAGACAACTCTATTTTATTGCCTGGTTCGGGTACTGAAGGTATTGAACAGCTTAGTCAACTCAGCAATGCACGGTGTGTTTATTGAGGGGACATTTTGTCCCATAGAGGGGACATTTTGTCCCAAAAAAATTTTTTTAAATCAAACTTTTTTCTTTTTCAGTTCCCAAGGAATTTGGCTCTATCGAATAGACGATTTGGTCCCTTCAGCCTGTTTAAGACCAGAATTACAACCTCCCTATTGTGACACACTCTCTGCAAGTCTCTCAGGACCGTCTAAGCCTATAGAAAATTCTATAGCATCAGCACAACCAAATACTTCCCCAAATCCTCCAGAAGAGAAAGAAAAAATTAAAGGGGAGGAGGAAGAGGAGGGGGAAAATTTTGACAAAGGAAGAGAACAACAACAACACCAAAATTTGCCTGATTTTTCAAGGGAAGAGCAAAGCGGTGAAGAGGTGGTTAAAATTAAAAATAAAAATTTAAAAAAAATTATTTTTTAAGAAACAATTTCAATTACAACCTTCACCAACAATTTTGCCCAATAAAAAACCAGCAATTGTGCAAATTCAAAGTAGAGAGTTTGAAATGCCCCCAGACGCATTTGAAGATTTTAATATTCGAACAACAATAAAAACAACTACAACAACAAACATTCCCACAAACATCCCAACATTTAATAAAAATAACGATAAAAACAAATGGTTGTCATCGCAACAACAAGAAAAACATGAAGAGGAGAGAGAAGAAGAAAATGAGGGAGAACAACATGTAATTATACCAGAATTAGTCAATTTACAAACAAAACAGACAACAACAACAAAAACATTACAACAAACAACACCTCAACAACAAACATTGTTTTCTGCTAAAACAACAGAAAAAGTTGCAAGTTTACCAAGTTTTGTTCCAATAGAAAAATCTCCATCAAAAATTGTTTTTGATGGACGTTTTCAACATAAAATTGAAGATGAAAGTTTATTTAATGGAAATAATAATAATAGTGGTGTTTTCCCTTCACCTCCACCAATGGAAACTATCTGGCCTGTAGAAGACAAGGAAAACATGAAACAAACAAAACATGAAAAACACGAAGAAATGGAAAATGTTGGGGAAGAAGAAAACAACGAAAACAACAAACAAACCAGTAAAAACATGCAAGACAACAAAAACATTAAAAACAACATCACACAAACAGAAAACACAAAAACATTGTTGCCAACAAGTTTAATATCAGAAGAAACTTCAACAACATTAATTACAACAACTATGGAAGATAGAAACAACTTACTCTTTGTTTTTAATAATACAAAAACGGTAAAACACAATTAAATTTTTAAAAACACAGGAAAACACAAAAATTTGTGAAAACATAAGAAAACACAAAATACATGAAACTCGAAAATACGAGAAAACACAAAATTACAAAAATAAAAATACAAGAAAACACAAAAATAAAAACACAAAAATACAAAAAATAATGAAATAAAAATACAAGAAAACACAAAAATAAAAACACAAAAATACAAAAAAAAATACAAAAAAAATATAAAAATACTAATTCTTACAGAAGCCTGTTGCTACAACCAAAAAAGTTGTTATTCAAACAAAACCTAGCACCACTCAAGTACCAAACATAAACAAGAAAATCCGGATGGTGATGATTTGTTAATGGAAGATTGGGGTAGTGATAGAGAAAGTGGAAGTGACTCTCTATTAGAAGGGGTTGTTACTCCAAATAGTTTGTTAATTAATTTTTTGTGTTTTGATTTTCCTTAATTTCAGAGCTATCCATAGTTATTCCTATAGCTATTGTTCTTGTTTGGTTGGTAGTTATGCTTGTTGTCGCTATATTTTTGTGTTGTCGAAGAAGGTTAGATTTGTCTACAATTAATTTTTCTTTTGTCTAGAATAACTTTAAAAAATTTTCCAGACAAACCCAAGAACGTCTACGAACACTTTATGGACCAGCATACCAAATTAGGCCAGTTTACACTATGCGTGTTAACAAACTTGATGAAGGAAATGGTGGGAGTTTTGCACCAACGGAAGGTAGTAAACCTGAAAATAATTTTAAAAAATTTTTTATTTAGGTGTTGGTAGTTATGAAGAACATTTGGAAAAGGCCGCGCAGAGGCTTTCTGCTGAATTAGCTTACAATCCCGTAAGTTTATTATTTTTAGAAAAATGTGTTTTTAATTTAAATGTTTTACGGAAAATGTTTTTCCGGAAGTATGTATTTTTTCCGGAATCTATTTTGTATTTTCCTTTATTTAAATGTTTTTTCGGAATGTTTTGTATTTTTCTAAAATGTATTTTTCCGGAAAATGTTTCTTTTCTTGTAAACAAGTTTGTTTGGTGAATAGAAATGCAATGTTTTTATTATAAATAAACAACACAAACTTGTTTTATTTGTAAAACAAACAAGTTTGTGTGTTTTTATAACTAAAAGTTTGTTTTGTTTAAATAAACACAAACACAACTTGTTTTAAATAAACTTGAAAAAACACAACTTATAAATATGTTGTGTTTTAAATTGTTTCTCTTCAAGTTTGTATTTTCTCAAAATTCTGTGTTTCTTTACCAACTTTAATTATTGCAGAATCCACTCTGGGCCGGACCTGGACGTTATTCTCTTTATGGCTCCTATTGGAATTTATCCCCCGACGCAAGTTCAGCAGCCAGACGTCCACCCCCTCCCACAAATTCCAAACAACAACAACGTTCTTCCTCTTCTTCCGCCATGGAAATGATTTCTTCCCCTCGTAGCAGTCAAGAAAGTAATAAATCACAACAACAATCTTCTGTATTTACTGGATATGCCCAACAAATATCTGGACACCACAAACCTTTTGGAAATAATTCTGGGGAGAAAGAATCACAACAACAAGAAACTTCTACAGGCGATCTCTTTCATCGTAGCCAGGTAGAAAAAATTTTTTTTGTGGGGAAAAATATTTTGAGACGCCAAAAATGGCGCTCATCCTTAGGTAATTTATAATTAGTCTGAGTAAATTTTTTTATTCTTTATTTTTATAGCGAAATTCAGCAAGTAGCGGACAACGTTTTAATGGAGCACGGCATTAAAAACGAAAAGAAAATTAGAAAAAAATGTAGAAAATGGTCTTTAAACTTGAGTAAAGAAAAAATTTAAAATAAAGGAACTGCCCAATTATAGTGTGTGCCATTCGTTTTTTTAAATAATTATATTTATATATTTTTGCAATATTTTTAATTTTAACTTGAGATGCCTTTTTGTGTTTTTACTGTTTTGTTTTAATATGTTTTGCCTTTCACACAAACATGTATTTTTTGCCTTTATTTAACTTGTTTAATAAAACTTTTAATAAAACACAATAAAATACATACAAACATTTGTGTTTTTACAAGTTTGTTTGGTAAATAAATGTTTATTTTAAAATAAACACACAAAAACATGTTTTATTTATAAAACAAATAAGTTTGTGTGTTTTTTATAAATAAAAGTTTGTTTTGTGAAACACAAACTTGTTTTAAATAAACTTGAAAAACATCAAAACCAGCTTATAAACTTGAACAAGTTTATTTTTATAATGTATTTTATTTTGTTTCCAAGTTTATTTAAAACAAGTTGTATTAAAACAAGTTTTAAATCAGGTTTTTATAATTAAACTTGAATTAATAAAAATTTGCATGTGCACAAATTGTTAAAACGCAAAAACTTAAAATGCCAAAATTAATTTTGCGCTCAGCTTTTTTTAAAGTAAAAATGATTGGCAGAATGAATGAATCCCCTGAGGGAATTTTCTTGTCAGTCATCTATCTCCCGAGTTATGGCATTTTCCTTTCTACTTGTCATTTTCTTCTTTTTATTTACTGCTTTTCCCCTTGTTTTCCAGACTTAATTTTTTTTCAATTTTCTTCCTTTCTAAAAAATCCTTTTTTTATTATTAAGGTTGTCTTTTACATAAAAAAAACTTTTTTTTCTAAATAACTGCCAATTTTTCCCCTCAAAAAATAATTTTAACAACCTCGAAAGGAACACAGAAACATTGATTTTGCAAGAAGAGGAAACGAAAAAAAATTTTTTTCTAAGGCAATCCACGCGTCTCACAAGATTTCTTTTATTGCCAAATTGCTTTGAAAGCGTGAGAAAATGAAAAACAAATGCTTGGCAATTTTATTTATTTTATTTTTTTATTTATTTTTGTGTAACACTTTTTTAAATTAAAAAAAAACTTTTTTTTCTGAAACCAGATGGCAAGGAAAAATCTAAATTTTCCTTTAAAAAATTTAAATTAAATAAAATTAAATTTTTGGGGGCAATTTATTAAGAAAAAAATAATTTATAAAAAAAAATAATTTATTAAAATAAATAATTTATTAAAGGAAGAATATTTTTATTTGAGGCAAAAAGCCTTAAAAACTCTTATTTATTTATGTCTACATTTATTTATTATTCTGACCTTTCTAAAGTTATCTTTCAAGTTTAAAAAAAGTTTAAATTATTCTTTTCCTGTAAGCATAAATAAAGGAACTCTATTTTAACTTAGAATAAACTTGAATAAATAAATGCGCCTGCTTCAAGTTTCAGTGAGAGGTTTATTTAAAAATAAACTTGTCTAAGTTTGAAACTTGAATAAATTATAAACTTGAAACTTGCCCAAGTTTGAATATTATTTAAGTTTATTAAGTTTATTAATAAACTTGAATTTTTAAATAAACAAACTTAAGTTTAAACTTAAGTTGAAACTTGCCTCTAAGTTTAATAAACTTGAATTAATAAAACTTGTTTATTAATAAACTTGAAATAATAAACTTGAATTTTTAATAAATAAAACTTGAAACTTAAGTTATCAAGTTTATTTAAAGCTTTCTAGTTACTAGCCTTGTCATACCCCAAAAATATCCATAACTCTTAAAATTTCTCATAAAATTTCAAAGAAAATTGGATTATTTTAAAAGCGTGGGAAGGCTATTGAAAAAGCAATATAAGAAGCAATTCTACCAATATACTTGAGAATATTTAAATATTGCCTTTTCTGTTTATGTTAGTCAATTCTCTTCCCTTCTCTTCAGGCTTAAAACACAATATACATATTAAATTTTTCTTTAATTTAGCTTCATCTCTCTTCTTTTTTTCTCTCTAAATTTGGTCATAAAATTTTTAACCAGATGCCCCTGCCATTTTATCCCAGTTTGTCTTCCGTTAGACATTTTGTCCCTCTAGGCATTATGTCTTGTGGCATTATGTCGTATTTTACTCTAGTTGGCATTTTGTCCATAAAAGTAAATATAAGCTCGGTTTGGTGGGCATGCCATGCCATAGGCTTCTTCCTCCTCGCTAATGACGTTTATTCTTCTTTTATGGACAAAGGCATTGACGGCATTTTTCTCTTCTCTATCATTTTTCCCTTTAACTTGTATTTAATATTTTCTCTATTTTACTTCTCTTTCTAGCTTAAAAGCTTCAACTTTTTTTTTCTAAAATACTAGTCTCGTCTTCACTATATTCTGACATTTTTTCTGAAAAGTTTGCTTTATTATATATTCCTTTTCCTCTTTTTAGCTTTTATTCCTTTACAATTTTTTGCGCATTTTAAAGGTTTCCAAAACCTATTTTTAAGTTTTTAAGTCGTGTCAAGTTTTTAAGTTTTTTCAAGCGCAAGCTTGAAAAAAGTTTGTGCGCTAAAGCTTGTTTTTAAAACTTGGGAAAACACCAAAAATTTTTTTAAAACTTGGAAACTTAAGTTTTAAAGTTAAGTCAAGTTTTTAAGTTTTTCAAGCGCAAACTTAAAAACTTGGTAAGACACCAAAACTTTTCAAACTTGAATATTTAAGTTTGCAAACTTGAAGTTGGCGTTTTGGCGCGCGTACAATTTTGGCGCACATTTTAATTTTCAAATATTCATAACAATTTTTATTTGTAAAAAATACCCCTATTTTTATTATAAAAGATACCCCAGCTGTGACACAAAAAATATTCAAAAAAAACATTGAAAGATTGGATATTTGGATAAGGGATGAGTATATTGTGACAACGTTTTTTTTTGTGTGACAGAAAAGTAGGGAAAAGGGGTTGAAAGGGGCCAAGTAAAAAATATGTAGAAAAAGCTTTGGCAATTCCCTCTGGTCATAGAAAGGCAATTTCTCTTTTCCCTCCTTTCATTTCATTTATTTTTTTTTCAAAAAAATTTTTTTAGTCCAAAAAAGGGAAAAAACCTTTTTTACCTTAAAAATTTGCTTTTTTCTTTAAAAAAAAATTAAATAGGTTTATTTAGTTAAGTAAATTTATGTTTAGTTATATTAGTCATTCTTTCCCTCCGTTTTTCTCTTTTCTTCATTTTTTGGCAAAATCTAAAGAAAAATTTTTTTCTTAAAAAACCTTTTTTGTTTCCTATCTTGTCATTACTTTAAAAAATACACAATGCCAAAATTAAATTTTTTTTTTCTCTTAAAGAAAAAAATTTTGTTTGCTTGTTTTTTCAGATGGGGGACCCTAAGCAAATTTTATTATTTTTTCTTGTAAATTTATTGACCTCATAACAGGCTGACCAATAGCCTCTGTTTTAAGGTCAGAGGTGGGTCGGAAAGTCAGAGGTGTCAGAAATAGGAAGAGCCGGAAATCACAACTGGCTCAAAAGTCGGAACTCGGAAATCAGAAATTTTTTTCGGAAATCGGAAGGAAAAAACATCGGAATTCCTACCCACCTCTGGTTGATTGATGTTTGTTAACTACTGGATGGGAGAGTTGTCTAAGCGATACCCTTCAATTTAAGATGCCTCTAAATTTAAGATACTTTCCCTTATAAAACACCTCCCCCTCCCCAATTTAGTAATATACCCTCTCGTACAGTTACGAATTTTTCCAACCCCCCAATGTTTACCTTATCGTGAGATTTTTTTAAATTTATTCTTTAATCCCCTCTTGTATATTGATTTAAAAAACACATTTATTTTTAGGCTATTTGTAGCTCAGCTTTGGCACACATTTAATTTTCTTCCTTCTCCTATTTTTCCTTAAAGGATGTATTAAATTTCTTTTTAATTAAAAAAATAAAAAAAAAATATGGGTGGCCAAATAAGCAGCAGCGGAAGTGGAGAAAACTTCAATACAACAAGAAGTTTTAGTAGCAGCAGCAGAAATAGTTCCGGCGGTCTGTTAACCTCCCCAGGCTTGAGTTCGATAGGCTCTAGTGGAAGAAAGTCGAGACATTGGAGAACGCCCTCAAGTTGTTCAAATTCTGCTAGCCCTCCCCAAATCTCGTCCTCTTCGTCTTTTTCTTCTGCTGGTTGTACCCCCTATTTGTCTGAACAACAACAAAACAAACAACAATTTATTAGACACCCTTCGTTATCTAAATCAAGTATTCGATCTTCTATGTATGTTTAAAAAATTTGATAAAAACCCTCAAAAAGATTTACAAGTAGACAAAAATGTCTCTGCCGTCTCTCTTATATGCCCGCAAAATATACACTCTCTCGCTCTCTGTCTAACCTTTCCGGAAAATTCAAGAATAACCTTCCGGAAAATGTCTCTGCAGTCTCTCTTTTATGCCTATAGAATATACACTCTCTCGCTCTCTGTTTAACCTTTCCGGAAAATTCAAGAATAACTTTTCCGGAAAATGTCTCTGCAGTCTCTCTCGTATACCCCTAGACTACTCACTCTCTCGCTCTCCGTCTAACATTTTCGGAAGTTGTTTTTATGGTTAGACAAAGAATGAGAGAGTATACAACGCTGCTTGAGTATACAAGAGAGACAAATTTTGTGATCTTTTGGGCATTGATATTTTTATTATCTTTTTGTTTTTTAATCCCTCTTCATTTTTAAGCTCCAAAGGTCGACAAAAAACCAACAGTCTAACCCAATGGAAAGCCCTTCCTTCACCGTCTCCTTTTGCCGATAATTATGCCAATGTTAATTCATTTATTGGTGCTGGTTCGAAAAGCAATCGGTTGCCTTCCTCAATGCTTGGACACAACCACAAAAGTCAGCATGGATCAAATTCTGCTAGAAGTGGTTTAGGTATGTGATTAAATGAGTATTTAATCTCTTGTGACGAAATGGGCATTTTTCGTTTTTGGGACCAAATGTCGCTTTTCCTTTATTTTTGTTTTCCTGGGACCAAATGTCTTTTTTTTGGTTCTGGGACCAAATGTCACTTTTTGTATCTGGGACCAAATGTCACTTTTTGTATCTGGGACCAAATGTCACCTTTTTCTTATTTTTGTTTTTGGGACAAAATGTCGCTTTTTTGCTTCTGGGACCAACTGTCGCCTTGTCTTGTTTTTGGGACCAAATGCCATCTTTTTTTGTTTCTGGGACCAAATGGATCCTTGACTTATTTTTGGGATCAAATGTCACTTTCCTTTATTTTTGTTTTCCTGGGACCAAATGTCACAGTGTCTTTTTTTGGCAGAAAAATGATTTTTTGATTTCCCCAAACTCCCTTTTTGACAAAATGGCAATTTTATTTCTTTTTGCCGAAATGTAGAGTACAATTTTTTGGCAAAAACTTTAATTATAAAGAAGCGATGTTTTATTAGGCTTCACAAAAAATATTTTTTTAATTAAAGGCTCAAATGGAAAAAGCATAAATGGCCCGTCAACATTTGTTTCTCGTTGGGGTGGTTCATTCACGCGTGCATTGCCTGGACTTAAAGGAGGAGGGGGAGGAGGAAATGTTAATAATTTTGTAGAAGGAAGGCATTTAATGGCCAAAAGTTTAATTAAAGAGCAAACAACCCAACAAAGAAGGCGGCATTTGCCGTCAAGTAAAAACAGAAAAGAATTAATTGAAAATAGTAGTAAAATTGAGGATAATAATAACAACAATATTTATGTAAATAATAATGAAAATTACGAAAATGATGATGTCTATAAGGGTGAATTTTTAATTTTTGTTTGATTATTACTAGTGATCGAGCTGGGTCTGGACAAAGGCCTGGGTTTTTCCTGTACCCAGAGTCTAGGCATTTTTTGACCTTCCTGGGGTTTTCCTGGATTACAGGCCCAGGATCCGGCCCAGGTCAATAAATCAAAACCCAGTAACATGCCCAGGCTTTCTCGATCACTAGTAGTACAGTCGGACCTCGTTTTGTAACGATGTCGAGTTTCCTTCCAGTCTAGCAAATAAAGCAAGAAATGAAAACAAAGTCAGGTTGGTCTGTTTTTGGGACCAAATGTCACCTTGTCGGTGGTCTGAGATTTTCCAAGATCAACTCCCAATCTTTTCTTATTTTCTGGGATGGGCTTGGTTGATCACCGAGTGGGCGAGAAATGATCAATGGGCCTCTCTTCGAGGTCATTTTTGTTTCTGGGACCAAATGTCACCTTGTCTTGTTTTCTTGACTTTTTTCTTTGACCTTTTTTTTATTTTTCACAGATTTGTCTACTTTAACAATCTCTAATAATTATTCTTCAAACAATTTTAAAAATACTCAAGAAGAAAAAAATTTGTCGGAGAAAGAAGTTCATTGGAGAAGAAGAAAAATATTAGAAAACAATTCTAATAGTAAGGACTTTTCTTTAAAAAGTTCTTTAAAACGAAGTGGTTCTAAACTGTTTAATGGACTATTACGTTCGTTAATTGGAGAGGATGAAAATGAGGAAGAAGAAAAAGAAGAGGAGCTTGAAAAGAAGAAAAATTGGGAAAAGGAGGATGAGGAGGAGGAGGAAGGATTTAATGATAATTTTAAGGTATTTTTGGATTTTTTTAATTTTAAGTTGAGAAAGTGGAGGGGGTTTGGGAAGGGTTACTTATGAAGGTAATGATTAGCCTTGGCTGACCTCAAACTCAGACCTTAGCTGTTAAGGTCTTAAATTTTTGTTTCTGGGACCAAATGTCACCTCTTGTTTTCTTGTCCAACTTTGGGGTACTTTGAAGTTTTGGGGTCGGTGGAAGAAAAATTAAAATTCTCGGAGGTCGTCTGACAAAATATCGTTTAAAGAGAGATTTTAGTTAGAAAAAGTATATCGAATTATGGTGATGTAGTTTTAGTCAAAAAAAACTTGCGGTTCGGTATTGGGATTGATCTACTTAAAACTAGAGAAGGAAGGTTTCAGTAAAAATTTTCAATAATTTTTTAAAAATTTAAGAATCGTCTCTATCTTGATGATAACAACAACAAAACAACAATTTTAAATAATTTACCACATAAACACAAAACAGCAACAATAAGTACATCCTCATTAAGAGCTTCTCTATACCAAGCGAAAAAGCGAATGTTACCAAAATGTACTTCTTCTGCCGCTAATAGACTTCCAAATAAAAATGGAAATGTGGAAATTGTTTGTTTGATATTTTAGAATTAAAAATAGTTACTGGGACCAAATGTCATCAAAAAAAATTTTTTTCGATTTTTTCTAAAAATTTTTTCTTTTTGCGTTGGGTTAACAAATTTTGATTTTTCTATAGTTCCTCCAAAGGAGATGATTTTTCTATAGTTCCTTTCTACTATTCCTCCAAAAAAAATTTTTTTAATTAAAAATAGTTACTGGGACCAAATGTCATCAGAAAAAATTTTCTCGATTTTTTTTTAAAAATTTTTATTTTTGGTTGTGATATTAGATTCTGATTTTTTAAAGTATTTATTCTTCAAAAAAAAATTTTTTCAAGTTTCTCAACAAGAGAGGTGATGGAGAACTTGTATCCTCCATGCTTTTATCGATGGCTACTTGTCCTTCTGTCGACTCTTCAATTTCTAATAGACGCCCATTTTCTGCTCCAACAGATGCTTATACTTCTACAAATGTTAAAAAATCTAAAGATTTGTGGTTGTCTGCGGATTGGAGTGGGGGAAACGAAAAGACTAAATTTTTGGACAATTTGAGTCCTTTGAGGCAGAGACGAAAAGTGAGGGGAAGAATTAAAAAAAATTTCTTTTTAATTTTTAAGATCATTCAAGCAAATTCTGGTGAATTAATTAAAGCTATTGGGTATTTTATTTGTCAACATTGTTGTTGGTATGGATTGCATGAACAGTTTGAACCGGCACATTTGGGGACTTGGTAAATAAATTTTTTTGTATTTTCTTAATAAATGTGTTTTTAAATTTATTTTTGTGTTTTGTTTGGGAAAATACAAAACTTTCCGGAAGTTGCGTATTTTTAATTAGTTTTCCGGAAATATCAGAATTATTAATTAATCTCTTCCGTAAATTTTTATTTGCAAAGAAAATACATTTTTAGAAAATACAAACATTTTCCGGAAGCTTCAGAATTTTTTATTCGGTTTTCAGAAGGTTGTGTTTTAGAGAAAATACATTTCCGGAAAATACATTTTTAAGAAAATACAACCTTTTCCGGAAAATACAACCTTTTGAGGAAAATACAATCTTTTCCGGAAAATACAACCTTTTCCGGAAAATACAACCTTTTCCGGAAAATACAATCTTTTCCGGAAAATACAATCTTTTCCGGAAAATACAACCTTTTCCGGAAAATATTATAGAAATATTAATTAATCTCTTCCGGAATGTGTTTTAATTTATTGAGAAAACACATTTTAAGAAAGAAAAATACAAAAACCTTTCCGGAAGCTGAATTGTCTTATCCCGGAAAATACAATAAAAATTAAATAAAAACACATTTAAAACACATTTAATTAATTTAAAAATACAAAGTATAATCTATTCACTTGTAGGCTTCGAAGTGTTGATCGGGCATTAATTTTACAGGTGTGGTTTTTTTTTCTTTTTAATAAAAAAATTTTTTTATTAATATTTATATGGTTATTAGTTGGACCTTACTATTTTTATATTTTTATCTGAAAAAAAATTTTTTACGATTTTTTAACTTTTTTCTAAGAGTTTTTTTTATAAAAACTCCACGTATATCTGTCAAGATTAATGTAAAGATTATTTTTTTTAAAATGGACATAAATTTCTTTGTTTTTTTGTAAAAACATTTGATGTTTTTTAACTATTTTTATTGTTTTTTTTGAAATTTTTTACAAAATAACAAACCGAAAAATAAAATATTTTTGACGGGTTAAAGGGGAAAAACGTGTCCTTTGGGGATTAAAAAATAATTTTTTTTTAATTTTTAAAAATAATTTTTGGGGGAAAAATTTAAATAAAAATAATTTTAATTAAAATTTAGGGCTGGCAAGATGTAGCATTCATCAATCCGGCAAATTTAGTATTTTTATTTATGCTAATTCGTGATGCTTTTTTGCAGGGTTTTTTAATTAAATGTGAAAAAAAAATAATTTTTTAATTTAAAGGTGAATGTAAAAAATTAAATTCATTGGAAGAATTACACTCTTTTGTATTAATGTGTTTATATATTTCTTATTCCTATATGGGCAATGAAATTAGTTATCCTCTTAAACCTTTTATTACTGAAAATGCGGTATAGTTTTTAATTCAATGCGCATATTAGAGTTGTCTCTCTTCTTTCCGTAAGCAGGTGTCTACACTCTCTCGCTTTTTGTCTAACTTATTTCCGGAAAATAAATAATTGTAAAATACAATTATTTGTATTTAACTAACAATTTTCCGGAATTCTGATAGGGAAAATAATTATTAAAAATAAAATTCCGGAAAATACATTATATTTTTTATATTTTATTAAAGTGTATTTTCCGGAATTCTTTTCCGGAAAATAAATAGAGCAAAAATACAGCAAAATACATTCCAGAAAGAATTCCGGAAAATACAAAATAATTAATTTATTTTTCCGGAATTTAATTTGTTATTAGTATTATTTTCCGGAATTTTCTATTACATTTCCGCAATTCTAATCCGGAAAATAATTATAAGAATAAAAAAATTCCGGAAATACATTATATTGTCTATATTTTATCAAACTGACTTTTCCGGAATTCTTTTCCGGAAATATAATAAAGCAAAAATACTGCAAAACACATTCCGGAAAGAATTCCGGAAAATACAAAATAATTACTTTGTTTTCCGGAATTTAATTTATATTATTTTCCGGAATTTTCTATTACATTTCCGGAATTCTTTTCCGGAAAATAATTATTAGAATACAAAAATTCCGGAAAATACACTATTATTCCTTCCGGAAAATACAATATAATTCCTTTGTATTTCACCAACTTAATTTTCCGGAAAGAATGTTAGACAAAAAAACGAGAGAGTGTGTAATTACTGAACAAATAATAAGAGAGACAAAAACTAACAGACATTATGTATTTTCTCTAATTTTTCCTACAGGATCGTTCACTTTTTTGGTCAAAATGTGTTAAATTAATTAAAATACATAGCAATCAAATGTTAAAAATAAATTCTTCTTCAACTCTTTTTCTACAAGTATTTACTGAATTGAAAAGTTATTGTATTCCACGTCAATTAAACAATAATAATGAATGGTTAAATGATGAATAGAGGGAGGAATTATTGGAAAAAATTTTTTTTGTATTTTTTCTTTGCTTCTCAAAAATCGGGTGCTCTCTACTACAAAAATTGCCAAGAAAAAAATTAAAATTTTTTGGGCTTAAAATTAATTTTTTTAAATTTTTTTTCATTTTTATATTGTTTTTCAAAAATTCTATATTCTTTTAATCTCAAAAAAATCGTTTTAGTCTCATACCCAAAAAAATAATTTTTTATTTTACATTGTGTATGATCTCTTTAAATATTTTTAAAAATCTTTAAATATTTTAACTATTAAAATCTCTAACAAAAAAATTTTTTTAATATTTTAAAATGTATCTCCTTACTTTTTTTGAAAAAAAAGTTTTTATTATTAATTAAAAAAATATATTTTATATTTTAAATTTATATATAAATTTTTTGCCATTTTTTAATTAAGTAGAAATTTTTGGCTCTTGTCCAGATGTCTAATCACATTTTTTAAGTATCCGGTTCTTCATTTTAGTATCTTAAAATCTAAGGGAGTAGCTTGATCTTCTCATCCACACCCGCACGAAATTTGACCTTTGGTCTAAAATGAAGGATGTGTTATCTGAACAGGAACCAAAAATGTTTAAAAATTTTAGGAATATTTATTCGAAAAACTTTGCTTTTAATAATTTTTAATTAAAAAAATATTCTTTCGATATAAATAATGAAAATTGAATTGTAAACTGATCAAGCTTGAGTGTGACGAAATATAAGAATATGAGTTAAGTGACCAAGTGTCCTAATGGCCAAAGGTTTGTTTGGTGTTTTTTGGTTAGAAAAATTTTTGAAATTTAAAATTGCTAGTCTTTGTCATTTTAAGATTTCCTTTGAAAAAAAAATTTTAACAGGCTAATTTAAATTTATTGAAACAAAAAATTGTGTTCTTTATTCAATGGTACCTAGAAACAAATTTTTCTTCTTTCTTTTTCCTTTTTAATTCCTGGTACTTGGAACATCCCTTTAACTCAAAAATTTTTTCTATTCAAAAATTTTAAATTAAAAAAAATTTTTTTTCTTTTTCAGATTTTTAATTTTCTTTTTCATTTATTTATTCTGCCAGCCACAATCTCCTTTTCAATCTTTTATTAAATAATGGTTACCTAGACAACTAAAAAATATTTTTTTCACGATTTTACCTGCTTAGAGGAGAGGGACTACTCGAATATATTTATTATGTCTTGCTGCTTATTCAAAAAGAGAAAACTATTTTGCTTGCTGACAGGTAGCAAAGGTTTGCCATTTATTTTAATATTATTTTTCTGGTTTTCTGGCAGTCGTTACGGCATATTTGGGTATTTGGGCGCGGTAGAGGTTGGGCGTGGGGGTAATAAAATTGTCGGGAATTGACCTATTTTGTTGAAATTTGGGGTGGTTGTCCGCAAGAGGGGTAGCTAAGTTCAGTTTAAATTTAAAAAATTTTGGGGTGGTCTATGGCAAGTTATGGCTTGAAAAAGTAAGGGGAATGGGCATTTTTGGGAGGATTTTGGTTTTTGAGGAAAATTTCGGTACTTTTCCATTATCCCTACCCCCTTATGTAAAGAATGGTCATTCTCCTCCCTCCCTCAGTTTCACTCAATTTTTCTGTAGTAAGGCAGTCCGCAAAAAAAGTCCGCAAGAAGGGGGTAGGTATAACGGAAAAGGACTAAAATTTCCCTGCCAGGCAAATTTTTTCGAAATTTTTTGAAATTTTTTGGAATTCTTTTATTGGATTGGGGAGCCCTTTCGGATTCTAAAAATCTCCGTTGTAAAATTTCCGAGGGTCCTTTCTATTTATAAACTCACTCCCAGACAACACTGCGCCCAAACGGGAATGAGCATTTTTGGGAAGATTTTGTTTTTGAAAAAAAAATTTCCCTGCCTCATTTTTTTAAAATTTTTTTGGAATTTTTGTATTAGATTAAGAAGCCCTTTAAGGATTTTAAAAAACTCCATGGTAAAATTTTCGAGTGTCCTTTCTATTTATAAACTCATTTCCAGACAATCCTGCGCCCAAACATCCAATTACCTCATCATATACCTTTTGCCTGTGTAATATACCTTTCCTCTCCCCCTCTTTTCTATCTGTTTATTTGTGCCACAGAAATGCTTTTTTAATGTCACTTCATCAATAAAACATTTTTCCGGCTGTTCCCACTGTGGGGTTTTTACCTTGACTTCCAGTAGAGTTTAAATAAATGTTCTTGGTCAATTTTTCTAACAATCGGAATATTAAAAAAAAATTTTTTTTAATATTCTCTGAGACTTTTTAACGTGAAGACAGTCTTTTAATGTTTTTTATACTTTTTTTGGATTTTTGAATGTTTTTTTCTTAAAAATATTTGAATAGGTCTACCCCCTTTGAGCTGCACATTTTTTGCTCTTTTCAATCTCCTTCAAATTTTTCTTCAAATCCTTTCCAAATCCATAAAAGCCTTTCTTGTTTATTTTTAAGTCATTTTGGGCATTTCATCGTATTTATGTTAGGGCTGTCAGCCTTGAGTCCGATACTTGAGGAAATGTTTAAATGTTTTTAAAAGCCATAATTATCTCTTGTGGATTTAGTGAAAGGATATGGGGGAGTTACGGACAGCACTGATTTTCTTGGTTTTTAAAATCATTATTTAAAATTTATTTTTCCAGGGTTCAGTGTTATTTAAATGTCAGAAGAAGTAGACTCACACATTGTGGAGAATTACGATATTCAAAAACGTTTGGGGAAAGGTTTGTCTTTTTAAAAAATATTTTAATTTTTTATTTTGTGGGAAACTTTGAAAAAATTTTTGTTAGAAAATATTAGCGACATTTTTTTGTAGTATTCTGTTAACATTTTAAGAGTAAATAGTTATGGGAAAGTAAAAAGTTAATATGAGAGATCACGCGGGACCTTTTCTCATGCCAAATGTTTTTAAATATATTGGGAGGAGGTTTCGGAATCTAAATCCTCTGATATCCCCACAAATCTCTTGATATCTTCAGTTTGATGGATTTGTGGATTACTAGGAATATTGAAGGGTTAATAGGATTAAGTGGAGATATTTAGCTATTAAGAGGATTTAGGGGCGATGGATTTAGTATTTAGTCACTTTTGGGACCGGGACTTTGCTAACTTAATGGCAGCCAAAATTCAAAACTTAGGTCCTCAAATCAAAAAATTTAAAAAATGGTGACATTTTATCCCATCAACATATTTAAGGTGCTTATGGAATTGTTTGGAAGGCTGTTGATAGAAGAACAAATGAAGCTATAGCTTTAAAAAAGATTTTTGATGCTTTTCGGAATGCTACAGATGCGCAGAGAACTTTTAGAGAAATTATGTTTTTACAAGAATTTGGAAGGCATCCAAACGTTATTAAATTGTATAATATTTTGAAGGCTGATAATGACAAGTTTGTTTTTTTTGATAAGATTTAAAAAAAAGGAAGGGTATCAAAGGTTTAATAGGAACTCTGTTTAATCAGACCGTTAAACTAATTTAAAAACTGGTAAACGCTGGGACACTACTTGTTGATTCCTACACTAACCAGCACCATCAATACAAGGGATTCGGGGAGGTGAAAGCAGGGACAAGTACTCGTTGATTCTAACACTAACTAGCACTATTAACCTAAGGGATTCAGGGGCTTGGATAACTCAATCAAGTTTTCCTCGTTGAAGTTGCCTCATGTGTTAGCTGCAAGTCACATTTTTACCAAAAAGTTTTAGTGAGGGAGTAGAGGTATAGAGGTGAGGGAGTAGAGGTATATAGTTGAGGGAGTGGAGGTACCTACAAAAAATATTTGGGGGATGAATTTGAGGCTAGGGAATAACCCTAAATTTATTTTTAACTTTTAGAGACATTTATCTTGTATTTGAATATATGGAGGCTGATTTACACAATGTAATCAAAAAGATGACTATTCTTAAGGACATACACAAACAATGTATTTTTTTGAATTTTTTATAAATTATTTTATTTTTTGAAGATATAATGTGTCAACTCTTCAGAGCCATCAAGTTTGTTTTTTAACTTTAATTTTAAAGAAGCTCCCCGTCCAAGAATCTTTATGGGGTTATAATACCAAATGTCGAAATACCAGTCTTCCAAAAGACGTTGAAATGCCAATATGTGGGTATAACCTCAGTAGTTAGACCAACGTATAAGTCGAGGGCTTCCACAGGTTTGTATTTCAATGTCTTTTGGGGGTTTGGTATTTTGATGATTGGTATTACAACGAATTCCGAATAAAAGTATTTGATTATTGACGTGTTTTAAAAAATTAAAGTATTTTTAATTTACAGATTTTTACACAGCGGCAATGTTCTTCATAGAGACTTGAAACCGTCAAATGTATTATTGGATGCTGAATGTAGAGTAAAGGTTTTTTCTCCATTTTCTTGTGTTTTTACCGAAAATTTTCTTATTTTTAAGTTGGCAGATTTTGGGTTGGCACGCTCTTTTAGTCAAATGGATGACTCCCTAGATGGATCCAATGTACCCGAATTAACAGAATACGTAGCAACTAGATGGTATAGATCGCCTGAAATTCTGCTTGGTATTTTTAAGTTTTTGTGAAATTTTTTGTAAATTTTTTTATAGCTGCCAAGCACTATACAAAAGGTGTTGATATGTGGAGCCTTGGTTGTATATTGGCAGAAATGCTGTTGGGGAAAGCTCTTGTAAGGGGATTTTTTATTTAAAGAATATAGGTAATATGAGAGAGAGAGGGTAAAAATTTAACCGAGAGCGGGCATCTGTCCTGCGCGACCTCATGGCTTTGGCACTTCCGTTCACCACGTACATGTATTCTACCGACCGATACCGGGTCGATGCGTTCACCTTCTCAATTAATAATATAAATCTTAAACCGACGCCTGGTAAGCGGTTTTAAAAATACTAACCAGCTTGCTCTTTCCCTTCTTTTCAATATTTAATTTTTTTCATTTCTAGTTCCCTGGTAGTTCTACAATTAATCAAATTGAACGTATTATGAATACAATTCAAAGGCCTTCTAAAGTTTGTTTGTCTTTTTTAAATGTGACATTGAATCTTATTTTTATCAGAATGATATTGAAAGCATTGGATCTGCTTATGCTTCCTCAGTTCTAGAAAAAATGCCACAATGGCCAAAAAAGCCGTTAGATATAGTTTTATCACAAACTACTCCAGAAGCTTTAGATTTAGTTTCAAGGTTTTTTTTTTAAAAATTTTTGACAAATTTTTTCGATTTTCTAGACTTCTCATCTTCGCCCCACACAAGAGATTAAACGTTGAGCAATGTTTAGAACACCCATATGTCTCTCAATTTCATAATAAAGCAGAGGAACCGTCGCTAGATTATGAAGTTAGGCTTCCTCTTCCTGGTGAGAATTAAAAAATTTTTCAAAAATTTTTAAAAAAAAAATCCAAAAAAAATTTTTATTTTTAAGACCATATTCAACTTTCTATACACGAATATAGAGATAAACTTTATGAAATAATTTCTACCAAAAAAGTAAATATACAACGTATTAATTATCCCAATATAAACGATAAAAACACGGCATGTAATGGTTGGGTAGATAAACAACACCAACATCAAAACGGGGAAACAAAAGAACAACAGAAAAGAAGACAGTCAACAACAACAAAAGAGCATCATTTAAAAGAACAACAACAAAATGTTTTGGAGAAAAACAGTGTTGTTAACAATAAGTTAGAGAAAGAGAAAACAACAACAAATACAACAAATGCAACAACAAATGAGAAACATAAAAACAACAAACGGGTAATACAACAACAAACACAACAACAACAACATTCAAACACAACAACATCCCCTCTCCCTTCTATCCAAACAACAAAAACATTAAATAAACAACAAACACAACAACAAGAAACATCCCCAGACAGTGAAAAAACACCAAAACATGTTGCAAAACATTTGAAGAATAATAATGTTGGGATAGAGAAAAAGAATAATAATGGTAATATTAATGGAGGATTAAAACAACAACAACATAAATTTAATAATAAACATGAAATAGGAAGTTCACCTTCAGTTGAAAGAAATACTAGTGGAGGACACTATGGAAGGTTAAAAAAATTTTTTTTTCTGTTTTTAAAATTTTTTACGTCTTTTTATTTTGTGCTATCAGTAAGGGTTAAGCGCATGAACCAAACTGGTAATCTCTTGATAGTTGACCTCTTAACAGACTTGCTAGACGCCTCTCTCGTTACGGGCGATGATTTCAATTAATTTTAAGCGTTTTATTTACTTTTAGATAGTTGTCAGTGTTTTCCTGGTTCCATCTGGGTTTGGAATTTGTGAACCTTTTCCACCAAAAATATTTTTCTAGGAAATCTGTTATAGGGAACCTGTCCCAGAAATCTTTTTTTGACCCGCTTAGAACTGGAACCGTTTTCGATTTTTAGAACCAGGAGACTTTAAACAAAAAATACAAGGAGATACCTGAAACTTAATATTTTCTTTTTTACATAACAGGAAGATAGGGGTGAGCAATGGTATTACAACTTCAGCGACAATGAGTAGATCAATGAGTGAATCAAAAGGATTGAACCACCATCAAAACGGAGGATTAATACATTCTAAACTTCACCAAAATAATCAAGCACCTATAGCATTAGCAGAACCTAGCGATACTGATTTAGATACATGTTCATCAACATCATCAGGCTTAACTATGGGAAATGGAGGGAAAACTGCAAAAATAATGGGGAGTAATGGAACTTTGTTAAATGAACAGCAACATCAAAATAATACTAGGCGCTCTTTTGGAAATTTATTTTCAAATATTATACAAAAACAACAACATTCACATCATCAAAATAATGTGGATGATGTTTCTGTGATAAGAGGTTTTATTTTTAGTTAAATATTTTTAATGAGAAGGTCCTTTGCCTTTGTGAGCATAGAAGGTCCGCAAGTTTTATCCGCAAGTCATATAATTTAAATTATGTGAAAAAAGGGGGGATGTAGGAGAGTAGAGTGAGAGGTCCTTGGAAAGTATGAGGGAGAGGTCCTTGGAAAGTATGAGGGAGAGGTCCTTGGAAAGTATGAGGGAGAGGTCCATGGAAAGTATGTGTGAAAGAACCTTGGAAAGTATTTAGATATCCGAAACTGAATAGAAAAATTGAACGGAAAATCCTTAGTTCAGAACAGAAACCCTACAATGAGAGACTATCAAAAAGCTTTGTATAAGGTAAATAGTGAAGATATTTTTTCAAAATATTTCCTCTTATAGACAAAAATTGTGGACTTTTAGGAGCATTAATGAAAAGGGAATGGCAAGTTTTTTTTTGGGAGGGAGGGAAGGTACTATTAGTTTTTAAACACTTATGGAGGAATGTGGGTCAGGGGTGAGCGCATTGCGTTATTTGCGTTAAATTTTGGCCTTGCGTTTTGCGTTTTTTGAGATTGTTCTTGCGCTCATCCCTGATGTGGGTTTGTCTGTGAGAGGGAGGGAAGGGAGTTGCTGTCTTATTTTCTCTCCTTCTATCTAATAATTTTTATATACAGCTAGAGCACAAAGCATTGAATCTTCAACAGCAACAACAAATTACCCATCAAAATTTTCTTTGAGAACAAGAAGTCGAGAAAAAGTAAAATCATCTAAAGAAGATCAACAACAAACTTTATATATTGATGGAAAACAACAACAAAAATCTGCTACAACAAACAGTAGACGTTCGCATGATCGGTTAAGAATTTTTTCTGCTTTAAGACCGTCTAAAACTAGTGTTAATAATTAAAAAAGTTTTTTTTAAATATTTTTTTATTTATTTTAAAAATTTAAGTTTAATTATTTAGCCATATAAGTAAGTACAAGTAAATTTTTGTGGGGGGAAAAACGTTAGGTTGTGTGTGTGTTTCTCTCAACTCTCTCGTTAGTAAATTTAAATTGAGAATCTTAAAACCTTGTGTAAGAAGCACCTTTTAGACCCGTCTTTTTTGCCTGTGAGGAAAATAAAAAAAAAGTAAAAAAAAATTTGTCCGCAAATTTTGTCCGCAAAAATTTGCGGACAAGGTTTATTCTAAAAATTTCACCTTATCTCACTTTTTTACTTAAACGAGAGTTGGGGAGATGTATTCTTAATATAATCAGGTACTTGTAATTAAACAGAAAAGAATTAAATAGAAAATTCTTTAGCCTAGATTTGAATTGATCTCTCTCTTTAATTTTTTAATATTGTAATAATAATGAATATTTAATAGAAACAGTTGAATCCCTCTAATACTTCACATTTTTAGGACTAGAATTGGGAGGGTTGACGTATTACCAAGGGAGGGAGTTGGGGTTTTCGAACCGGGCGAGTCATTTTTTTCGAGCCGGCCGGACCGAGTCTTTTTCGAGCCAAAATTCATGCCCGACTTGATCTCTCGGACCGGGCCGGATCGGGCCCCCAACCCTATTACTAAGCGAGGAAGTCGTATTAGTCGGATTTGACTGTATAATATCTCGTATAAATGCATTTGTATATTTAATATATTTTATTTTAATTTTATCCGCAAATTTTGTCCGCAATGTTTTTTGTCCGCAAAAAAAATTTTTTAGATACATACTTGTTTTTAATTTAAAAATATATTCATTTTTGAATGAATTTTTGTATCTTTTTTTTTGTTATTTTTGGTTTCAATTAATTTTTTTTCGTGTTTACACAAAAAAATTATATTTTTCCCCAAAACTTGAAAAATAAAAGAGGGAACATGAGTCATCCAAAAAGAATAATTTTTTAAAAAAAATTAAAGATGTGTGTATATTTTTTTGAAGAAAATGATTGATGAAATTGTTAATTTAGAAAAATTATTTTTAATAAAAATGGGGGACAGAATTTTTTGGAAAAGAAAATTTTCGGGAATATATGGATTTTGTCCGCAAATTTAGTCCGCAAAAAAAGACATGAGAAAATTTTTAAGTTTATCCGCAAATTTTTGTCCGCAAGTTAATAACAACATTTTTTTTAAAAAAGGGGGACAGAATTTTTATAAAGGAATTTTTCGAGAATATTAGGAGGACTTGAGAAGTTATTAACTTTGTCCGCAAATTTTGTCCGCAAATTTTTGTCCGCAACTTTTGTCCGCAAAAATTAATTACATTTTCAAAAATAAATACATGTTTGGCGCGTTTATTTTCTTTTATTTTTTCTTGGCATTGAGTCAATTTCTTTTTATTTTTTTGTTTTTGTACTGCGCCAAAACAGAAACAGGGAAGGAAGTTATAATTTTATAAAAATATTTTTTTCAGATTTTTTAGAAATTTTTTTATTTTTGTATTTTTTGGATTAAAAAAATTCATTTAACTCAATTAACACTTAAAAATGGCAGAGGAAAGTTTTGTTAAATCACAGGTTTTTTTATTCTATAATTTTTTAAACTTTTTTAAATTTTAAGTTGGCTGCGTTCTGCAAGGCGTTAAACAAAGTTGAAGCACCGCTCAAACAAAAACATGTTAGGGCATTGGTTGTTGGAACGGTTAGTTTGTTTTTTGTTTGTTTTTGAAAAAGCTTTCTTGAGTTCTGTCCTTTTTTCTGTTTTCATCGGATCGTGATTAGATTACTGCCTGGTTTTTGAAAGTCACTTAAGTTGCTAACTTGTTCTCCGTTTTATACGTTTCACGAATTCGAATAATTAAATTGAATTCTCTTTGGGTTTAGAATTATGGTTTTTAAGGGTTCTTAGCGTTAATTGTTCGAAACTAGTGTTGCGCCGGAAGTTCCAGGATTTTCTGGTCCGGATTGGTTGTAAAGTCGGAGCGAAACACTATTAGAAATATATGGCCAGTTGAGGACAGTTATAGTAAAGGGGCTGAATCCATCCCATAAACTGGCAAAAGATTCATGGGACTTTTCCAATGCAATATTGTTAACAGGTCTTTGTCAGCTATCCCACCGCCGACTGATCGTTTCCATTTTTTGCTTAAATTTCTCGGCTGGTAAGAAACTTGGTCCAATCTTAATTCCTAGGTGTTTGTTTAAATTTTTAAAAATTTTTTATTTTTTTCAGCACAAACTCCGCTCTTCTCGTATTTTTTGGCATTCAGTTTCACGTATTCAATTAGAAAAGAATCCTGTCTTGACTTGGAAATTTTGTCAATTACTTCATAAATTAATTCATGATGGACATAGGAAAATAACAGAGTCTTTATAATTTTTTATAAAAATTTTTTTGTTTTAATTTTTAGAGAAAGTGTTGGGCATGTTTCTCGTTTAAATCAATTGGGCAATTTTTGGCAACATTTGAGAAGTTCTGGTTATGGACAGGCCAATACATGTTTGTTTTTGGAATTTTTAATTTTTGTGGGTTTTATGGGCTAGCCTTTTTTCAATTTTTGCTAGAAAAGTTTTCCTGGTCTTTCGTGGAATTTTTAGAATTTGAATTTCACTAGGAAATACTGTTGACCGTCGTTGGATTTTTTTAGAATTTGGAGATGATTTTGCGTTTTGAGGTCACCCCAATTTTCATTCTTCCCCTCTTTTTTATTTTTCCACAAGCAAATCGCCTTCTATAATAGAATATAGATTGGACAGGGACGTTTAACTTTGTGGAAACTAGAGACACAATTTCAAAAGAAAATTTCGAGTCCACCCCAGAGTATTGACACCCAAAGTATCGACACCCAGAGTATCGAATGACCCAAAGTATCGAATTTTTTAAACTTCATAATTAAGTATTCCAAGGACGGGGAAGTCTTTTTAACATAGGGAAATTGTTCCAACAATGGATCAAACATCGATCATGATCAATATGTCCAATCAAAGAAGAGTGATCGATCTCCAAGTAGAATCTTGTTAGGTCGCTATGCTCAGTTCGATCGAAAACACAATTCCCCGATGTTAGAACATCATGCCCGATCATTGGAATACTTAATTATGAAATTTAAAAAATTCGATACTTTGGGTGTCGATACTTTGGGTGCGATACTCTGGGTGTCGATACTTTAGGTGTCGATACTCTGGGGTGATCCCAAAATTTCGGTTATAAATAGGGTTGGGGTTTTCGAGTCGGTCCGACCGAGTCTTTATCGGGCTTAATTTTTATCGGGCCGGCCCGACCGATTCTTTTTTGGGCCAAAATTTGATTCCTGATTCTATTTTTCGGATCGGATCGGGCCCCCTAAAGTTCAATATTTCTCGAGATATTGAGTTTCGTACAATTTCTAGTCATTGTATCCTATTTTTAAGGTTATTGTAAATTGCTGGTTAGCAGACTCCAATTTCATAAAAAGGTTTTTTTTATTTTTTTAAAGGAATTTTTCTCAAATTTATTTTAATAGTACCCAAGTATTCCTGGCAATTTGAATTTAAATCAACGACAGTTGGATACGCTTAGTTCTGATATAAATGAAACTTATGAATTAGCTATCGATATGTTGGACCAGATGGATGAACTGTTGAATTTAAAAGCTACTAGTTTGTTTAATTTTTTGGAATTTTTAAATTAAGGGTTGGGCAATCCAGGAGAATTGGGGTTTCTTCGAATAGAAAGTTTAAAAATAAGAAAAAGGGGTTTTCTAGGGTAAAAAAATATGCTGATCACGAATCTGAGCTTGGATTTTGAAAAAGTCGAATCCCGGACCCGAACCAAATTTCGAACCCTGAACCCGGATTTTGAATAAGATTTCGAATAATCCCCTGGATTGCCAAGGGTTGTATTCATAAATGTAAACTTGGGATTTTTTAATCAGATGAGTTTCCATGGTTGTTACGGGGTATCCAAAATCCTCACTTTTAACGTGAAATTTTATCTGAAATTTTTTTTGAGAACAAGATACTAAACCCGAGCTGACTTTATTTTTTAACTTGAGTGCTACTGTTCCGTTTCCTTTCCATATGCCATCTTGCAAGCTTTTGGCTTGACTGTATCCATGGGTCGGATTTCAGGACGACTCGATAAGGTGTGCGGCAAAAATTTGGTTTTTTCTGAACTGACATCCCAACTGAAATTAATATCATTTAACTCAATCAAGTAAACTAGAAAGTTTTTAATCCATGGGAGGAGGGAAATGGAAGCAGTAATATCGTCAAGTCCTTTCGGACTCGAAAATCAATCCTATACCTATTCAATAAAAATAACTTTGTTTTTTCTAGTAATGTCAATAATGGATTCTATGCGTTGGAGTTCTCTTGTTCCACAAGGCCAATGTTTACTGGCCCCATTAATTTTGGTTATTCTTGATACTTCCAAATTTTGTTTGTTTTTTTTATTTTTAAAAATTAAAACAAATTTTTTTTGAAGACGATTTTTTGGTCAAAGCCCACTTTAAACTTCACAAAAGTTTACCAGCCGATACTTTAGTTGGACATAGAGAACGTTTTTATGATTTATTTAGACGAACAAAAAAGTTTTATGAAGAGACTGCAAATTTGCAATATTTTAAATATTTGGTACAAATTCCGACTTTGCCATCGGTTTGTTGTTTTTTTCAAAAAATTTTTTTGAAATTTTTGAAAATTTTTTTTCGAAAATTTTTTCGAAAAATTTTCGAAATTTTCAAAATTTTTTTTTTCGGAAATTTTTTGAAATTTTTTTTTGAAAATTTTTCGAAAATTTTTTTGAAAAATTTTTTGGTTTTTTTTTGAGAAAATTTTTTTTGAAATTTTCGAAAAGTTTTTTCGAAAATTTTTTTTTGAATTTTTCGAATTTTTGAAAAATTTTAAAAATAAATAGATTGCTCCAAATTTCCAACAAGCATCTGAATTGGAGGATTATAGAGCTCCCCAAGCTTATTTGCATGCGGGTACGACTTCAGAAAATGGTGATCAATCGCCGCCAGATTCGCAGTCTGTTTGTGATGAGGTTAACTTTTTAAAGTTTGGAATGGTAATATTTCGAAATGGTTAAATTTTAAATTGTTGTGGAATGGTCAAAATTTGGATTTAAGAATGAGATATCTTGTTAAGTCATCAGATGTCTTTCTTTCCCAGAGCCGCATGCGAAAATTTTGAGAATTTTTGTAAGGCCAGATCACTTGTTTTTGGCGCAGCTTTTGAGAGTATTGGAAGGCCTGTTGGGAGACCATCGTTTAACCGAACCGAAAATCTTTGGTTTTTCGGTTCGGTTCCGTTTTAAACCGACAGATTGCTGCCGCGTTGACTAATATCAGTAGCCAACCAAATTTTAAAAATTAAAAAAAAATCTCTCATTTTTTAAAGCAAATAAGCAGCATAATTGACATTTCTCTTCCGCAAATGGACAATATTTCAATGATGGGTGATTCTATTGCTTCATCCACCTTACCTCCGTCTACTTCAAATAATGCTGGTGCTCAACCAATTTTTGATCCAAAGTTTGAATTTTTTGGAGTTTTTTTTAATTTTGAGTTTCTTTAGAGATGAAATTATTGCTCGTTTACGACTTGATATTGATGCTGAAAGGGATGTAAAGGAAAAATTATTTGAAGGTTATATTTTGTTTTTATTTTTAGGATTACTTCGGGAGCTCATTTAAGGGATATACCCATGGGATAGAAAAATCTTATTTTATAATAGAGTATTGCTTTTCTGAGTTGTTGGTTTGAACTTAACCTAACAATAAGAATCGAATTGTAAAATCCTCGGTATGTTCCAAAACTGATAAACTAGGTGCTGAGAACTTGGTAAAGTTGGGAAACGAACTGATGGACCTATAGGATTTTGCGATTGAACCCTTTGATATTGAATATGGTTTTGAATCCCCCATTACTCTTAAATTCTCTTTTATGTTTTTCAAGATCAAAAAATTTTTTTTTGAAATTAAAACTATTTACTTGTCTTTGCATTAACCGACGCAAATTGATCTTTAAAGTTCTGTCTCTTCTTGCAATCAGAAATTTTTTTTTATTTAAGAATGCAAAAATCGCATAGAACAATACGAAGCTAGACTACTCCATATGAACCAGGAGATTGATTTGCACAAAGAAGCTGCTGAGGAAAAGACAAAAGAATTGGAAGAATTACGTGTATTGAGTACAACTTTAGGACAAGAACGTCAACAAACTTCAGAGGAGAGTAAACGAAAAGTTGATGAAACTGAACATAAATTTGCAAAATTGAAAGGAGCTTATCAACAAATTCGTGAAGATCATATTAAGGTTTTTATTATTTTTTTGTATTTTAGCGATTTAGTATTTCGACGTTTAGTGTTACGGCGTCGTGCCGATTTTCTGATAATTTTTAAACGATTTTCTAGTGTGTAGGCGACATATATAAGTGGACATAGTGCCCGTTAAACCATTTTCAGGACTGGAACCATGGCTGGACGCAATTTCGGACTGCGGATTGCGTAGAAGTGCGTGGTTTTTTGACTTGCGGATTGCGGCTGTGTAAATTTTTTCAATTGCGTCCAGCCCTGACTAGAGAGCCCCAATTTTGGATTTCCTTCCTCTTTCTGGCCGGATCCTTTCTCGGATCTTTCCTCTTTCTGTATGGATTTCCTTCCTCTTTCTGGCCGGATCCGTCCGGTTTCTTTTCAGATTAATACTCCGAAAGACCCGGATTCGGAGCCCGACTTCAGAAAAATAAGCTAGGGACTGATGCGTTACCGGACACCAAGGATTTGGTTTACCTGACTATTGGGGGGTTTTAAAAAATTAAATGTATCGTTATCCTCATAAGGTATACCAAAATTGTCATGAACAGCCATTACGTCAAAAATTATTTTTAGGCTCTCACAGAGATTCGCGATTTGCGGGCTAAAATAGATTCAAATCTTAAAGCATCGGATACAAAAAATGAGGAATTGACTCAATTAAAAGCTAAAATGGAGCAAGATGGACTTGAACGGGAATTTTTTGAATCTCAGGTTTTTTTAACTTAAAAAATTTTTTTAATTTAAAATTCTAATTGTAAGGCCAAAACACTTCAAGAAAGTATACAAATAAAAGGACAAAAATTGATTGAATGTCAAACAAAAATTGAACAATTAGAATCTCAACTGGAAGAACTTGAAGATGTTTTGGGTAAATTCAAGGTGGAATCAGCAGAAAAATTGAAACTTGGGGAAGAGGATAAATTAAAAATGGGAAATGAATTTTTAGGTTTTTTTGGAGGTTTTTTAATAAAAAAATAATTTTTTTCAAGATTGTATAACTTCTTTTGCATTGAATTTAATGGAACAAACTAGTGAGGATTCTCAAAATGCTACTTCTATTTCTTATCCACCACGTTAGTTTTTTTTTTGAATTATTTTTATCCGTTCCATCCTCACACAAGAGTTAGGTTGGAAGTCTAATTCAAGATTTTCTCGGTTTTCAATACCTTCATCATTGTTGCTACCACTACCGGCGTCTTTGATATTTTTGGGGTCAAATGCTTTTCATTTCTAAATTTTTTTAAGAGGAGGCAATAGGGTTCCTTCGAAAATTTGTCTGATTTTTTTTTCAATTTTTGAGGGAGAGAAGAGAAGTGGTAGTGCGAAACTTGCGGACCGACTTTTGCGGACCTGGGGTTTATGTTTTTGTTTTTCTATCGTAACTTTGTCCAAGCTTGTACAATCTCGATGATTTTGATGTCATTCGACTCAGCTCGTCGAGCTCTTTCGAATGAGCTATGTTTCGAGAAATTCGTCGGGTCCGCAAGTTTTTGTCAGCAAAAGTCGGTCCGCAAGTTTCGGCCAGCCAGAGGAGTGGTGTATACGAGCCGATAATTGAAAAGAAAAATTGAAAATTGCGGAAGAGGAGAAATTAAAAATCGGAAATGAATTTTTAGGTTTTTTTGGAGGTTTTTTAATAGAAAATAATTTTTTTCAAAGATTATTAGGACGGCTCGTTCCCTGGTGTATATTCACACAATTTGTGTTTGATTTTCTCTAATTATTATTTTTATTTTTTTTAAGATTTGGCAACTTCAAAACTTAAATCATTTATTGAACAAAAAGATTTTGTAAATTCAATGTTTAATAATAACAACAATTCAAAGAATGAATTTTATAAAAGTATTTTACTTGTCGCCCAAAATATGTCAGATATTTTATTGGTTTGCCCATCTGCTGCATATACTGCATCTATTCAACATTTTGAAGGTTTTTTGGAAATTTTTATTGATTTTTTTTTCTATTAAAAATTTGGGCGGGGGACATTTCAGTCCCGAGCTCTATAACTCGAGAAGTTCCGAGTAGTTTTTGGAACTCTTGGTATCGTTGGATAGAGGATTAACTAAGCTACAATTTAAGCTATTGATCGAAAAATTCGATCGAAAGGTACCAAAGTTATGAGTAAAAAACATGCAAAAAAATGACTTTTTTTTAAAAATGGCGGTTTTTTGATAATAACTTCATTATCAGTTGATAAAATTATTTTATCTTTGGTATCATTTTGTAGGGAATTTAATCCTCTATCCAATGATACTAAAAGTTCAATAAATTATTAGAAAATTCCCGAGTTACAAGGTCGGGACTGAAACGTCCCGGGACTGATGTGGGACGTTCCGAAAAATTTTAATCCTTTACCAAGGAAAAAATTTTTTTCTTTAAAATAAGAAGCTAATTTTTAATTATTTACTGAAAAGGATATGAATATTGTCATTGGGGACCTCCTCTTTTATTTTTTCTTGGTTTATCTAAAAAAAATCACTGCTAGTTTTAACGGTGATGGGACGTTTTATCCGAAACCTAAGAGTCGAACCTCTGTCTTTTTTGACTAGAAATACCAAACCTTTGCCCCAATCTAGAGTAAGTTAATGAGAGAGGAAAATGGAGGAAAGTGAAAATAGAGGGGGAACCCAATAGACAATATTTGTTTAAAAGAAAAATTTTTTGTAGAAGTAAACGAACAATGTCGTCAAATTCAACAATTATCTTCCACATTCATTAAAGAAAAGAATTTGGAATCTTTAAATGAAATATGGAAAGAATTGGAAAATTTAGAAAATTTAATGTTGGGATTACCTAAAGAAAATGTTGATTTGGATGTTAATACAGTTGGTAAACAATTGGAAGAAGAAATGAATTGTATGACTGAAGCTATAGCTGCTGCTGTTGAACATATTAATGAATTACAAAAGAAAAGGTTTTTTAAATTTATTTTTTTGTTAAGGGTATTTTTGGAATAATAAGAGGGATTTTAAGAGGGTGACATTTGGTCCCATAATTTTTTTAATTTTTTGGTACTTGGGGTATTTTTATAGAATTAGATGGGAATCTTTTACTAAAGGTGACATTTGGTCCCATAATTTTTTCGTGTTTTTTGTTGCAGTTAAACTTCATTTTTAAATACCCTCAAAATTATGTAAGTACCTCCCAATTTGATTTTTGGGATTTTTTAAAATCTGAGGTGACATTTAGTCCCCCCCTCTTCCCCACAAAAAATCCTTTTAATTTTTTTCGGCTCCAAAGAGTGTATCTAAAAAATGAGGGGGTTTTGACTTTATTTGTCAGTTATAGGGCTTTTTTGAAACAGTTCTTTTAGAATAGTTAAGTTGATCAGAACTAGGCATATCAAAAATTTAAGACATTTCATCCCACTTATTAAAAACTTTGGTACCCCTCAATAATATTTTTAAATATACTCTAAAAACCTTTTAAAAAATTATTTTTTAGACAATATTCTAGTAATCCCTCAAAAATTATTTTTTCTAGTCGTGAAACAAATATTGGAATAAAATTGGAAGTAAATGACAAAATATTAAATTCTTGTAATGAATTAATGGGTGCCGTTAGAGAATTGGTAATAAAAAGTAAAGAAGTTCAAGAAGAAATTGTTTCTAATGGAAGAGGGCAGGCTACACCAATTGAATTTTATAAAAGAAATCATTTGTGGACTGAAGGTTTTTTTTTGAAATTTAATGACATTTGATCCCATATTTTTAATTAAAGGTTTAATTTCTGCTGGTAGAGCTGTTGGTGTTACTGCAACTGAATTAGTGTAAGAAACAAAAAAAATTTTTTCTAATTGTAATACAACCGAACACCTCGTTGTATCATCCTCCCTTAAGACTGAAAAAAGCCTGTGCCTTATAGCAAGGGCGTAGTTAGGGGGTTGATTTCAGGGCGGGTTTTTTTTTCTCAAATTTTTCACCTTTTCCCATTTCGGGGAGGGGAGCTTTAGCCCCAGAAGCTCCCTGGTTACGGCCTTGCCTTATAGTGAGCTGTGTCTTAAATAGAGGATTTCTTTTGCGCAGCTATTTTATGGTCCAAGTTGAGAAAAGGGTCAGGTCAGGATTCGAATAGGGTGTTTCGGGTCAGTAAAGTTCGGATTTTCGGAACCTTACTGTATTTCTCCTAAAAAAATTTTTTTTATTTTATTTTTTTTATTCCTCTAGGAAATCAGCAGACAAATTAATAATGGAAAAAGGTGGCAAATTTGAACATTTGATAGTTTCTGCTGGTTCTGTTGGTGCTAGGTTTATTTTTTTATTTTCTTTTTAAATTAAAAATAAAATTTTCAACAATATATGTAGTCTCGAAAATTTTTTAACAAAAAAAATTTCTGGACATTAGAGTCTCAGAAATGTGATTTTTAATTTTTCGCGAAATTTAAAAAAAATTTTCTTTTTACGAAATTTCGTCTAAAATTTTTTACTTTTCGAAATTTTGTTTTTTCGTGAAAAAATTTTTCGAAATTTTGTTTTTTCGCGAAATTTCGTGAAAAAATTTTTTTAATTTATTTCCCTTTCTAGTGTTGCCCAACTTTTTGTTTCTTCACGTGTAAAGGCAGATAAAAATTCTCAAAAATTGGTTGGACTTGGAAAAGCTTCAAAAGATGTAAATAAATGTACAGCAAATTTAGTTGGAATTGTTAAACAAGGACAACAATCACTTGGGGAAGAAAGTATGGATTTTTTTTAAAGGGAAAATTTAATTTTTAATTAATTTTTAAAGAATTACTCGATTTTTCAAATCTTTCATTGCATGAAACTAAAAAGGAGGAAATGGAGTCACAAGTGCGTGTTCTTGAATTGGAAGCGGAATTGTCTAGGGAAAGGTTGGGGAAACTTTTTTTAATTTTCGAAATTTCGGGATTTTCACGAAATTTCGTCTAAAAATTTTTTGAAATTTTAAATATTCGAAACTTTGGATGATCACAGAATTTTGTGGTTTTCACGAAATTTCGTTTAAAAATTTTATTTTCGAAATTTCTATTTTCACGAAATTTCGCATATTCGCGAAATTTCGTGAAATAATTTTTTTCGAAATTTTTTCTGAAAAATTTTTTTTTTCTTGTTAGGCTTCGATTCGCAGCATTGCGAAAGCAACATTTTCATATTGCTCAGTTAGTCTCTAATAACCAGGAAAATGGAGGTGGTAATGGAGAGACTGACACCTCACCACCTGAGTCTTGATTTACTTTTTTTTAATTTAAGAGAATCTCCCAAATTCGTAAAAATTTATATTGGGTGTTTTTGGATATTGAGAAAAATGTTTATTTTAAGATTTTTTTTAAATTTTTTCTAATTTCGAAATTTCGTATTTTTACGAAACTTCGTGAATTTCGCTTTTTTCGAAATTTCTTTTTTTTCGAATTTCTTCCTCTTCTCATTTTTCTCTTAAAAAGTGTAGCAATTTAAAATATTCTCTTAACTCAAATTGAAATTTAAAAAAATTTTTTGCCCATTTTTTAAATTTTATTACTTATTGTTTTGTCCAATTTTCTGACTTTTTCAAGAAAACATTCTATCTTTTTAGTTCTTTAGAAAATTCTCTATTTTATTGAAAATTACTATTTTACGGTTTAATAGGATCTGATTTATGGGCATGCCTAAAGTCCCAATGCATTAGCTGAAAATTTAAATCAAATTTTTATTTTCACGAAATTTCGGATGTTTCACGAAATTTCGTAAATTTTTTTTGAAAAAAAAGTAATATTTAATGGGACGCATGCTGCAAACCAGAACCTTTACATTAAAAAAAATTTTTTTTAATATTATGAATTACAAAATAAAAATATATATGCGATTTCTTAAATCTGGGTTTGTTGGAAATTAAATATTAAAAAATATTATTATGGGAAAATTCGACTAAAAAAGGGAAATTGAAAAAAAATGGGGGAGTGTTTCTAATGAAACAAAAAGGTTTGGGTATTAAGATTAAATTCTGAAAATTAAAAATCAGAAATTCTGGTTCTCAGAAATTCTGATTGAAAATCAGAATTAGTGGATTAAAATCAGAATTTCAGAATTTTTAATCAAAAATTCTGATTTTCAGACCAGAAAAAATATTCTGATTTTAAAAATCAGAATTTTTTATTAGGATTCTGGGGGGTTAATTATATATACAATTAATTATTTTTAGTTTTAAACCTTCTTTTAGTTTTATTCTTTATTACAAGTTGGTGGCCTAGGTGTATGTGGCATTTGCACTTTTGTTGGTGGAAGAATTTGTTCAGATTCAGAATTTGCACTATCAGAATCATTTTCCCCCACAACATTAATATTATTTGAAGAATCCATAGAAACTACTCTTCTCCCAAAAATTGATGATTTTCCTCCTCCCCCATCTATTCCACAAGGCGTAACAACAATTGAAGGTCTGCGTTGGTGTTCATCTCCTTCATAAAGTTCAAATTTGTCGTCTACTGCTAAGGAAGCTAATCGAGACATTAAATCAAGGTTACAGACAACGGGGGCCATTTCGGCGTGTTGAACCTTTTAAATTTTTTTGAATTTTTAAGAGGGGTGGAGTCCAACCCCTCACTTTAAGATAACAATTGGGAGTAAAAGGGTTCATAATGAGGTGTCTTAAATAGGGAGATGCTTGTCTGGGTAGCTCCCCAATGGTCAGAAAAATAAAAAGCGGAGAAAGGCAGTAAAATAAAAAAATATACCCATCCAACAGGAGGCGAACTTGGCGGTGATATAAGAAATTGTTTCTCTAGAGGAGGCAATTTTAAATGCCCCTGTTCATCCTGATCCACTCTTCTAGCCATTTTTATATTTTTGGCAAAGAAAGCTTTCATTTTTGCTCCGTTAAATGAATGGTGTTCAACAAGTAATTTTGCAGCTAAAAGGGGATATTAGAGTCTCAAGTCCAGAAAATCCGGTACCTGTGTAGTTTACCCCCCATAAGCCCCGCCCTTTTATTTTCTATAAAATGATCAAACGGGTCTATATTTTCATTGTGGTCACTTTCTAAAGAAAAAGGAAGAGAGGACAAAGGGGGCGGGGCTTATGGGGGGTAAATTACACAAGTATTAAATACGAACCTGTAGCATGCTCTGGCTTTTCAAAAACGATGCGAACACGTTGAAAACTTTTTAGAAAATCAATTCGGATAGGATCAGTGTCACAAGTAATTTGTTGAAAAAGTGATCGAAAATTTGATTTTTGTTCGGGGTCGTCAAACAATTCTTTTGGCACATCCTAAAAAGATGGATTGGGTAGGAAGCAATTAGTTAGACCAGCCAAACCTCACTATAGGATAGGATTTACCCTTAAGGGTCCATTCTCGGGATCAACTCCCATAGACCTTAGAGGATCAGTTGACCTAGAGAGTTGACCTTTTGGGTTGGTCCCAAGCTAGAATACTTCCGGTACCTTAAATTAAACGTACGGTTTTTCGATCCCTATGGGGACACCTTATAGTGAGGTCTGAGGGATCAACCCGAATTTTTTGGGGCAAGTTGATTAATCAAAGCAGACTTACTCTAATAATTATTGCAGTAGGTAAAATTTCTTTATCACAGACTGTCTCTTGTTCATGTTGTTGTTGCTGTTTTTCTTCTGTCAAGTCGGACACTACCGGTGGTCTTTTTTCCAAAACATTCATTTTTGTAGATATTCTAATGGGGGTTTTTAAGTCGATAAGAAGATAACTCCTTTAAGAAGGCTAAACTTTTTAACAAAAAATGTAGAAAAGCAAAGTTAAGTATGTGTAAATACTAACACAAAACAAACAAAAAACAAGAGAAATTGTCAGTGCCATATAGTGCTTCTCCTCTTTGTGAGGAATTCTTATTTTCCTTTTTGGCGCTCTCGGCTTTTTTTTAATAATTGGATTCAATTTTTTGGGGGGATAAAGAGAAAGTGTATGGCTAGCAAAGGCAAAATAAGGAAGAAAAAAGAAGTTTTGAAGGTTTTCCTCAATTTTAGTAGTTAGCGTCGTCGATTTTATTCTCTACTGTGACTGTTTCCTTGTTTAATTCACAAAAGGGAGGGGGGTTGTGGAAAAGAAGAGAGATTGAAAAATGAATAGAGGAAACAGAGAGATAGAGAAAGTATTTATTTTTTATAAACGACAAAATGCCAGCGGTCAAAATGCCAGCTAACAATGCTTTTCCTCGGTTCTTTTCGACATTTTGTCAATTTTTGGCCTTATTGGCATTTTGTCGTTTCTGTCTTTAGTATTTTAATGAAGAAGTTAGTGTTAGAGTATTAAAGTTAGAGAATTAGAAAAACAAATTTAGCTGCACATTAAAAGTTTAACAAAAAACCACACAATGTTAATGGGGGCAAAAGCGTTGTGTTTCCGTAAACAAGATTAGCTGAAAGAGAAAATATATATATTTTATATATTTTTTGATAAGGGATTAGGGCTAGTTAATTTTATTTTTAGCTTTTTTGTGGAATTTTGCTTAGACTCTAGTGTCCTTCTTTTATTGTAGGCTTTTGGGAAATAGTAGAGGGTTAGAGAAAAAGAGAGTTTTTTAAGTATTTTTCTTTTGGCGTTGTTTTATTTGGGGAAAAGGGGGTTTTGCCAGCGATTATTTATTTTATTTTTGGCTTGATTTTTTTACATTTTTCCTTTTCTTGTGAGTAGTCATAGGTAGGGGGATGTCGCGGCTGTCACTAACCTAATCCTTTTGATCTCACTGTCGTGTGGTGGCGGGGGCTGGTAAAAACCTAAAGGGAGAGGGCATGTCGCGGGTGACTTTTTGACTTTTAAGCCAAATCCTTTTGATTAGTTTTGACTTAAGGCCAAATCCTTTTGAGCGGCTGGCTGGTCAAAGCTCAAACCTTTAGCGCGAGTTAGTGCGGTAAAAGCTGACCAACCTGTACCTATAGGAGGAGAGGGAAAAATTGATGTCGCGGGCGTCGTACTCCTCCTCCCTCTCCTTCCCTACCTCTTCTCTCTCCCTTTTCTCTTCTCTGGAAAAAAAACGTCGTGGGGTGGTGGGGGTCTGGTAAAACCAAAAGGAAGAGAGCATGTTGGGGGATCGCGCGGCAAAAACCTAAAGGGAGTGGACAACTTGGCAGAGTCTTGGGGTGGAGTGGGAAGGGAGGCCAAGATTTGTGGTGGAGAGGTCAGACAAACGATAGAGTATGTGCATTTATTTGTGGGAAAAATCAAAATGGAGAGGAAAATTCTTGCGGAGAGATACGATAAAAGAAAAGTGAATGGCAATATTTGGGGATGATGGGTCAGACAATAGGAAATATTTAATTATGAGAGGAAAACCAAAAGGAAGAAGGAAGAGAACCCCTTTTGAATGTGGACATCGTCGTCTAGGGTGGCAATAACTGAAATGGATAAAATAGTCTTGTAATCAAATAGTGATGAGAGGGTAGAGAAAGTGGTTTAAGGGGTAATTTGTGAATCATCGTCGTCGTCGTGGCCGACTTTTTGACTTTTAAGACAAATCCTTTTCATTTGTTTTGACTTGAAGTCAAATCACTTTGACAGGTCGGTGATAACGAGCTTTTCCTCTCCATATCCTACCCCTCTCATCCCTCCTCTCTGATACTACTCCTCCTCTCCTCATTCTTTCTCCTCCCCATTTTATCTTGTCCGCTATTTTCTTCTTCCTCCTCCTCCTCCTCCTCCTCCCTCATATTCCTCATATCTTCTCTGATCATGACTTCTCCTTTCCTCCTCTATCCTACTCCTCTCATCTTCTCCTCTCTGATACTACTCCTTCTCTCCTCATTCTCCTTCTTTCTCCTCCCAATCTTATCTTCTCTATTTTTTCCTCCTCCTCCTCCCTCCTACTCCTCCCATCTGCTCTGATCTCATCTTCTCCTCTCGGTTCTTCCTCTATGATACTATTTCCTTCCTCCTCTCCATATCCTACTCCTCTCCTCGTTCTTTTTCTCCTACTCGTTTAATCTCTATTTTCTTCCTACTCTCTTCTACTCTCTCATCTCCTCTCGTATCATCTTCTCTTCTCCTTTTATCCTCTCCTTTCCTTTGCGGTTGAACAATCACCATCGTGGAGTAGAGGGGTCTGGTAAAATCAAATGATGAGGACATATCGGTAGAGTTGTGGTGTTGAAGGGTAATTTGTAAGCAGTGGTGAAAAAATAATTTCTAAATTTGAAGTGTCAGTTATTTTGTAATTACTTTATTACAATCTTATAGAACCATTCAACAAGTGATCTATTACCTCATCGAATAATCAAATTGTTCT